AGTGGGTAGAGAAGCTAAAGGAAAATTACAAAGCATCTGCTTAAATTCAGAGAAGCAGTAAGAATCTCTGTAACAGAGAAACTTTTCTTCATAAAGAACTAAAAAGCATCAACCATGACAGAGCTGTCATCTCTAATATAATGGTCCAGCCAATCCCCTTGCCTCAAGATTTGCTTTTTTTAAACATCTTGCATCTTTCATTGGTATTGAAACCACTATTGCAGACATGATTATTGTGATCAAGTATAACTTCATTATTCTTTCCAAGCAAATGCAGCTCTTTACTGCTTAATTCAGCCAGCCAGCTTGATATTCTCTTTCAGATTTATAAAAAGAGAGAGCAGAGACGGGTTAGCAGCCTGCTGAGATATATCTCTGACTGCAGTTTTCTCCAAATTGAATAAACTTCTTTACTGCCATTCCATTGTTTCTACTGTGGACAAAGGCATAGAAAATGAGAGCTATTTTATAGCTTCTAGTGACAAAGGATTTCAAAACAAGAAAGGTACTGCGTTTCAGGGGCAAGAGTTGAAGAATACACAAATGAAGAAGAGAAAAACGGACAATTTGCCTTCCAGGAACTCATTCAGATGATATGTTTTCAGTTTGAAGACCTCATTGGAAGCTGGATAACTTCAACGCATGGACAGAAATTTCTTTTCCAGGGTGATAAAATCAACTGACTAGATAACTGTGTCGGCAAGTGCTTCTGAGACTCCTGAAAAGTAAAAATATGATCTCCAGGAAGTGCTGGATAAAGTCTGCTGCTGCTTGCTCATAAAATTACAAACAGGGTACAGTTTGTAAGCAGGAGGATTAACTATAGGTTCTCCAGAGATGGATCCCCCTCTTGTGGACCGCCACCATGAAGGCTGGCTAAACAGACCTGAGAACAAAGATATTCCTCAGAAATAGTTACCAAAACTGAAAGATAGAAACGTTTGGCCTAAATTTCAACTGTAGACCTTAGGTTTAGAACCTAGTGTCTCACAGAAAACAATAGTAAAACTAGTAAAAATTCATAGGCTCTGATTTCCAGTCATTGAGCAATCCAGGACTGTCATCCTCAAGAGAAGAAAGGACATGAGGTGAGCCACACGATTGCCCCAGCTCTCTCTGGCTGGAGAGTACTTTCCTGTTGCCCTGCAGAGTGATTCGAACGCAACTGGAATTATAGCCTCAGTAAGCTAAGGAGGAAGAAATGGAAGTTCTGGGCTGCTAAAGTGACTTGAACTTGTGAGGGTGGACACCGGAGAGAAAGGAACTGCTCCAAGGGGCATTCCTAGAAGTCTTGTGTGCAGGTTCAGTGTAGGCCCTTGCCTTCGGCCTGGGCCCCGTGTGAGCTGGCCGAGACTCTACCACCAGCCTCAGGCCCCTGCTAGGAATAGATGTGGTGAGACCTTGCTGATCACCGCAGTCGTCCTGTTGAAATCCCAGAAAGGCCACTTGTTAAGAGTAAGGATCACTTCTTAGTGTGAAAGCCGTACCCTCAAACAAAGTTGTAACGGATACAGACCCACCCTAATAAAGAATAAAAACCAAGAGTGATCAGAAGGATCCACCAGGAATTTAACTGCATGACAGACTAAAACTCAGCATCTGTTAAGGTTGATGATACAATCCATACTCAACTTCAACATATTGTCCACTATTCAGTCAAAGCTTATGTCCACATTCAGTCAAAAGGTCCTAGGCATGTGAAATAAAGATTCAAAATCACAAGAAGTATTGGGTTGGCCAAAAAGTTTAGGTTTTCTGTAGATGCCTATGAGAAAATCCAAACTAAATTTTTGGCCAACTCAATATGACCCATAATCAAGAATTTTAAAAATCATTTAGTAGAAACAGACGATAAGATGGCCTAGATGTTGAAATTAGCAACCAAGAGTTTTAAAACAGCTGCTGTAGTATGTTCAAGTACTAAAGTGGGAAAATGGTCATAGTGAACAAGATGGAGAATATCAGCAGATAAAATTAAAACTTTATAAAAAGTTGAAATACTGCTATGGAAAAATTCAGTATCTGAAATGACGTGATCAGTTCATCAGCTGAGTTTAGATGGAGACTACAAAAGAAAGGGCTAGGAGCCTGAAGACATGAATGCAAATTATACAGGAAATGCTGAGGAATTAAATCTTTCCCCCTCCAGCACTTCCCCTCTCCCCTTCCTCATAAACATATCTTACAGATTACTCAGATTGTTTCTATTTCTACAGTTAGATCTATATTGAATTTACTTTTTGAAATGAACTTAAAAAAGGTTGAGCTTATAGTTGTATATGCCATTCTATATTTATGTCCTAAAAATTGTTTTCCATTTTGTTTTTCTTAGTTAATTGGGGTAGAATTGGGATTTAGTTACTGTAGAATTAAAGAAATATTGGCCTGTTTACAAGTATATTAATGGCTCATCTATATAACATTTTACAGCTTATGAAAATTATTTCACTTGTTTAGTATTAATAGTAACTAATGTTTATCAGCTCTACACTGTCAGATATTGCGCTTAACGTTTTGCTTATGTCTTCTTATATAATCTTCAAAACTATAAAGTTGGCATTATTATCCATCTCTGTTTTCCAGGTGAAATTTGAGATTTATAGAGGCAAAATGGTTGGCCTAAGGTCACACACCTAGTAGTTCATTGAATTAGATACACGGTAATATCTGGTCTGATTCCAAATCCAATCCTAACCACCATACTTGACATTTCATGTTTTACAAACAAGATTTTGAAGTTTATTCAAGAATTGTTTGCTGTGGACTTACTGTATCTACATATGGGTTTCATGAATTAGGCTTGTTTCCTATCTTGAAGTTACTTGTAGTCTAGGGACCTTAATGCTCCACAGACCAGCATCTCCTGGGAGCCTGTTAGAAGTGTAAGAATCTGATTTAACAAGATCCCCAGATGATAGATATGCACATTCAATATTTATAAGCAGTGGTCCTAAAGATATAGAATAACTTAATCATATCAGAGTAGTCAGGTTTAGAGGGGCATACACATCTGATTATAAAAGGGTATCTTTAGACTATACCAGGCTAGTTTTTCTCCTTCAGTTATTATATAGATATTATTTATCAGTCTGTGTACATTGTGCCTATGATATGTAATAAAAACTTCTAACTTCTTTCAAAAGTTAAATGTTGCATTTTAGAAAATGTTTTGAGTGGGGTAGACTTCAGTCGCTCATTCATGTCTGACTCTCTGCAGCCCCATCGACTGCAGCACGCCAGGCCTCCCTGTCCATCACCAACTCCTGGAGTTTACTCCAACTCATGTCCATTGAGTCAGTGATGCCATCCAGCCATCTCATCCTCATTCTCCTCCCGCCATCAATCTTTCCCAGCATCAGGGTCTTTTCAATGAGTCAATTCTTTGCATCAGGTGGCCAAAGTACTGGAGTTTCAATTTCAGCATCAGTCCTTCCAATGAATATTCAGGGCTGATCTCCTTTAGGATGGACTGGTTGGATCTCCTTGCAGTCCAAGGGACTCTCAAGAGTCTTCTCCAACACCACAGTTCAAAAGCATCAATTCTTCAGCTCTCAGCTTTCTTAATAGTCCAACTCTCACATATATACATGGCTACTGGAAAAACCATAGCCTTGACCAGACGGACCTTTGTTGGCAAAGTAATGTCTCTGCTTTTTAATATGCTATCTAGGTTGGTCATAACTTTTCTTCCAAGGAGCAAGCATCTTTTAATTTCATGGCTGCAGTCACCATCTGCAGTGATTTTGGAGCCCAAAAAAATAAAGTCTGACACTGTTTCCCCATATATATACCATTCAGTGATGGGACTAGATGCCATTTATGTGAGATCAGCCATGATAGATTTCATTTGGCTATTTCAGTTTTCTGTTACTTTTTACACTTTAACTGAGATTAAGTCTGTCAAAATGGGATAAGACTGATTCGTATATTTCACGCTTTGTTGTTTTTTGAAAGGATGCTCATTAGATTAATGAATCTTAGAAATAAAAACCTGATTTCCCCCATCCCTTCCCACTTTGCCTAATGCCGCTTCCCTAACAATGAATTTGTCATTTTTTTAGATGTGGAAGTTATGTGCTATGACTGGATTTCTCTTTGTTTACATGGCGCCCTTATGGACTAGCAGGGTCTGTTCTTTAAATATCTCCTAACCATCCAAAATTTAACCCCATATACACATTCATGTATTAACACGCAAATGTGTATTCAAAATTTCACTTAGAAAGCACTGTTCTGTTACGCATGCACTGCCACTAACAATGGATGTAGTAAAACACCTAACTTTAAAGCACTTCATAGATTTAGGCAATAACTGAGGATGGAAAGTGAATTCCAGTAAGATTTTTACATAGACTTTTTAAATATTCTAATCCCAAATAGAAATATCTGTAGTTTACATTTTTGTAAATACTCTAGACTGAGCATGGCTTTGATTTTTTTGTTTTTGTTTTTTACTAAAATGTAAGTAGAGATGTAACATATATGAAGAAATGGATGAGCCAGGTATTTTTGTGATGTAATCAAAGACTCCAGTTTGATGTAGGTTTGTCCTATATTCAAGATACTAACTTTAAAAGAATGAGCCCAATAGCTGTGAAGAAGAGGAGCTGGAAAGATTGTATTATATCACATATCCAGATTTAAGTCTTATGCCTCTTGTTGTCCTTATCTGCAACATCTTCTTTCTGAGAAATGACTGCTTCTCTTTAAAAAGCCTAACCCTTTCCTATGAGCCTAAGAAATAATTAACAGAATTTAAAAGGCTTCCTTGAAGTGAGAGCTTCAAGCACTCAAAGATATTATATCAAGTAAGTACAAACTTTTTAAAAAGCTGAAAATAAGATTTACTTTCCACCCATAACATTATTAATTATATTTTAATTATCTTAGTCTCTAGATTTAGTAATAAAAACATTCACTCCTATCTTGAAGATCAATTGATAGAAATAAGAATGAATCAGATATTCTTCAGAACTTTAAAAGTGCATTTTATTTTTCAGCAAAAATGTCAAGGAAGTTAAGCTTGCCTACTGACCTAAAGCCTGACTTAGGTAAGTAAAATAAATGAAAATATGCAGTAGTTAAAAATCTCTTTAATGGGAAGACAAAAAAGTCAGGAAATTTAAAATGACCATAGAATAGATTTTCACTGAAAATTAAGTTTAAAATGACTGTTTAAGGAATAATAGCCTTTTGGATGTCATCTGTATATTATAAGATATTTATAAATGTAAGCAAACCAAAATAATATGTTTACTCAATCTTCTTGTAAAGTATCCTTTAGATACTTTAAACAAAATTCAGTGTAAGATTAAAATTTATGTGATTTTTAGATTAATTTCTATTAGCCATCTGAAAACTTATCTTGAGCACTATGATTTATTAACTTATTTTTATGAGAGTAATATTTTCAAAATATATGACTGGTTTTCTGTATTACAGTGAATCTCATGTCAAGAATCAATATTACTTTTTGATGATAATAAGTTGGGAAATATTTATTTCTCTGTAGTACTTTATTTTTTTTTCCATTTATTTTTATTAGTTGGAGGCTAATTACTTTACATCATTGCAGTGGTTTTTGTCATACATTGACATGAATCAGCCATGGATTTACATGTGTTCCCCATCCCGATCCCCCCTCCCACCTCCCTCTCCACCCGATCCCTCTGGGTCTTCCCAGTGCACCAGGCCCGAGCACTTGTCTGATGCATCCAGCCTGGGCTGGTGATCTGTTTCACCCTAGATAATATACATGTTTCGATGCTGTTCTCTCGAAACATCCCACCCTCGCCTTCTCACACAGAGTCCAAAACTCTGTTCTGTACATCTGTGTCTCTTTTTCTGTTTTGCATATAGGATTATCATTACCATTTTTCTAAATTCCATATATATGCGTTAGTATATTGTATTGGTCTTTATCTTTCTGGCTTCACTTTGTATAATGGGCTCCAGTTTCATCCATCTCATTAGAACTGATTCAAATGAATTCTTTTTAACGGCTGAGTAATATTCCATGGTGTGTATGTACCACAGCTTCCTTATCCATTCATCTGCTGATGGGCATCTAGGTTGCTTCCATCTCCTGGCTATTATAAACAGTGCTGCAATGGACATTGGGGTGCACGTGTCTCTTTCAGATCTGGTTTCCTCGGTGTGTATGCCCAGAAGTGGGATTGCTGGGTCATATGGCAGTTCTATTTCCAGTTTTTTAAGAAATCTCCACACTGTGCTCCATAGTGGCTGTACTAGTTTGCATTCCCACCAACAGTGTAAGAGGGTTCCCTTTTCTCCACACCCTCTCCAGCATTTATTGCTCGTAGACTTTTGGATAGCAGCCATCCTGACTGGCGTGTAATGGTACCTCATTGTGGTTTTGATTTGCATTTCTCTGATGATGAGTGATGTTGAGCATCTTTTCATGTGTTTGTTAGCCATCTGTGTGTCTTCTTTGGAGAAATGTCTGTTCAGTTCTTTGGCCCATTTTTTGATTGGGTCATTTATTTTTCTGGAATTGAGCTGCAGGAGTTGCTTGTATATTTTTGAGATTAATCCTTTGTCTGTTGCTTTGTTTGCTATTATTTTCTCCCAATCTGAGGGCTGTCTTTTCACTTGCTTTTAGTTTCCTTTGTTGTGCAAAAGCTTTTAAGTTTAATTAGGTCCCATTTGTTTATTTTTGCTTTTATTTCCAATATTCTGGGATGTGGGTCATAGAGGATCCTGCTGTGATTTCTGTAGTACTTTATATACAACCTATCCATTAGGAAAGCAGAGTGAATATATCTCACATATTCCTTTTGTTTTATATCCAGCTCCAAAACAGCTTCCTGATATTCCAGAATAGGCAAAAATGACATTTCAATAAAGATTTAAAGAAGATTTCACATAGTACATATAAAGCAGATTTCTTTTAGAAATTTCTATTGCTTTTATTTGAATAACTGCATATGGATGGTTTTACCCATGTTGTCTTAGAAACTAGATTTGCTCCATTGTATTTGCTCACCCAGCTCATCTTCTCACTTTTAATTCTCTAGATTCCTTGACTATCTTTTTATGTATAATAGAGACTTAGATATTGGTCCATTTCACCTTACTGATTTTAGCATTTCCAAACCATAGTCTTATCTCAGTTGTGATAGAAAATGTGTTACTATGAGTAGGCATAATATCATCCACTGTCATCAGGAAGAGTTTCCATTCCTGAACATAGGAAAGACAGTACAGTAGGCCCCTGTAGTAACACTGGTGTTAAGGGACCCAGAAAAAGTTATAGAATGCAGGATAACATGTTTTGAGAAGAGGGTAGTTCCCTTCACTATAAAAATGAAATATGCAATTTGAACACAAGTGTATCTGAAGCTAACCTTATTCATTTTTCCTCCCAACAAGAGTATCCAGAGTTTTCTTCAGACTCTTAGAGTCCCAGAATTTCAGTAACACTAAATACTATTAGTTTAATTTTTGTGACACTGATTTTGTGTCATTTAGTATCTACAAATCTGAGAAAACACATGTAGGAGTACTTTTTTAAAATCAGTAAAATAGGATATCAATTTAATTTTAAAAGAATATTCACACTTAGGTACTATTTAAGTATTTTAATCAAAGTGTGTGCTGGGAGAAGGCGAGGGTGGGATGTTCGGAGAGAACAGCATTGAAACAAGTATACTATCAAGGGTGAAACAGATCACCAGCCCAGGTTGGATGCATGAGACAAGTGCTCAGGGCTGTTGCACTGGGAAGACCCAGAGGGATGGGATGGGGAGGGAGGGAGGGAGGGGGGATCGGGATGGGGAACACATGTAAATCCATGGCTGATTCATGTCAATGTATGACAAAAACCACTACAATATTGTAAAGTAATTAGCCTCCAACTAATATATATATAATATATATATACACCCACATATATAATATGTATATAATAATATATATTTATGTATATTAATTTATATATATAATAAGAATAAATAAAAAAACATAAATAAACAACAAAGCGATATTGTACAGCACAAGGAAATACAGTCATTATTTTGTAATAGCTTTAAAGAGAATATATCCATAAAACATTGAAATACTATATTGTGTACTTGAAACTAATATAATACTATAAATTAGCTGTACTTCAATAAAAAAAACTCAGAAAAAAAAAAAGACAAAGTGTGTGCTCCGTACTTTTATAGATTATCTTTCTTTATTCAGCTTATCTTTTACTGTGTGCCCATGTATTTCAATGCCCTAAGCTAATTGCTACTTAATTTAATACATGCGTTGAAACAATACCTATATTGCCTATATAATTTCCCTTTAAGGTCATCATGCAACTGAACTATTTTTTGGTAGAGATTCTTAACTGGTAATTATTTTACACTGGCCAGAGGCTTCCCTTGTGGCTAAGCTGGTAAAGAATCCGCCCGCAATTCCGGAAACCTGGGTTCGATCTCTTGATTGGGTAGATCCCCTGGAGAAGGGAAAGGCTACCCACTCCGGTGTTCTGGCCTAGAGAATTCCATGGACTATAGTCCATGGGGTCGCAAAGAGTCTGATGACTGAGCGACTTTCACTTTCAGAGAGTCACTGGGGGAAAACAACTATTATCAGTAGGCTCAAACTGCCAAATGTTGCCCTGTAATGGTAGTTACAATTCATGAACTGCTAAGATTCTAACTTGTTTTCAAACAGTTCCAGACACATAAAATTAGCAACTTAGTTTTGTAAGTTCAAACTTGATTCTGATTCAGTTCATTTTCCCATATTGATCTAGCTATAGGAGTTTTTATAGAGAAGTCATATAATAAAAATGCAGTTGTAGTTTATAAACTTTATATCGTTAGTCTATTAAATTAAAATGTTTTGTTGGCCTATGAATTAACATTTGAATTAAGATTGTTGTGAATCACCTATTGTAATTTTAATAGATAACAGTAAAAGCTTTTATGCAGCTTAATTTTTATTGAAATTCATGATATCCTATTTTCTTATATATTTTATATAGAATATATGTATTCTTATATATTTTCTTATATCACTGATTTACATTTATATCACTAAGTCCCAACTGATAATATAGGTCAATATGTGTGTTCACCTTGTCTGTGTTTGTTTTATTAAAATAACATATTTTTATCAAAAGAAGATTTTAAATTTCTGTAATTTTATTGTAATAACTGTGTAAATCTCAAGAGTTAAGATTTGGCATCACTACCATGTTACACTTATCCAATAATGAGCTGTCATTTGTTTTATTTATATTAACTAGTTCTTTTCTCCTGTGTCATAATTGGTAACAGGAAGCACAATCGCAGGCAAAAGAAGAGCATTTTTAGAAACTGTAGTTAGAAATAATCCATGTTGCTGTCATAACTAGTGGCTTTATTATTTTCCAGGTTAACTATAATTGAAATTATGTTGTATATAATTATTTGGGAGGAGAGTTGTTTTTAACTTATGAATCTAAATTTGACCATAAGAAGCTTTTGTGGAGGTGTAAGTAGGATTCAGTAATACCTTTTTTAATTCAATGAAATACAGTTTAGAAGACTTGAATGTGTTTTTCATTTTTCACAGTACTATGAAGTCATTTCCTTCACAATAGCATTGAAAACATACAGTTTGAGGAATGACTTATTAGATGTGAACAGTAGAAGCTACTGAAAAGTTTACTATATCCCAGTAGTGTAGCAGAAACGCATTGCTCTAGATACTTGGAACTCTAGGTCTGTCTTCAGCAAGTATCGATACAGTTGACTACTCTCATATGCAAGGCACTATGCTAAATTCTGCAGGAAGTCAAAAGCCCTTGTTCTCAAGAAATTTTCAGTCACATTAGATCAAGGCCCAAGCCGTGTCAGAAATAAGTGCAGAACAAATATGCTATTAGTGCCATGGGGAAGATAAAAAGCTATCAAGATTCAAAAGAGAAAAACTATAGATGGTTTTAGGAGTCAGGATAAACTTCATGAGGATGACAGTACCTGAGATGGAGAATAAATACCATCTAGGTGGGTAGCAATCAGAAAGAAAAAGCATAGGCAAGTGCCAAATATGTATGGAGAACACTGAATAGCTTGGTTTATTTTCCGCAGTGAACTGAAGCAAGGCAGCACTGGCAGAAGGGGCCAGGATGGTAGGCTGAAGGTGTTTTGTGGAGAATTTTATAAACCTGAGTAAGACTATAAAAGGAACCATTGTGGATTTTTAAGGTAGAGGTGATAGAATTAAAAGTGTACTTTGGAAAATTTGAGTTGTGATAGAACAATGGCAGAGTGAAAGTGGGGAGGTCTCTTGGGAATTGTAGATGAAGGGTGATAAAGGCCTGGTCATGGGACTTGATTGGTACTGGAAAGAAGAAGATGGAAATATTAGAATAATGTAGGACTTGTCATCCCATCAGAGACATACAGTTAAAGTGAAAGGGAAGAACCAAAAATGCAACTCATGTCAAATGTTGTTCCCGTGGAGAATGGGGTTGTTGTCAATATAAATAGTACCATTAGAAGAATTTAGAGACTTGGGGAAATGGTGTGTTTTGATTTTGCATAGTGAGCCATAACAGGAAAAAATTTCATGGAGCATTTGGAAATGCATTCCAAGAGAAAAGGGGCCAGAGCTTGAAACAAACTTAAGATTGGTCACAGAGAGGAAGGTAACTATAGACAAGAGAGCGCTTATTAGTAGAATTTATAAGTATCCCTGAATATACCTGGGATTGGGTTAAGAATGAGCCAGGTGCTGGTTGTCCAGGTTAATGGAAAATGCCTTAGTTGAATGTTGATTCCAGTTAAAATAGCATTTAAGAAAAATAAAAGCTAAATGTTTATGGATGAAGCTTTCATATGGACAGATTTGAAGAAAAAAAGTCCATCATACAATAAATTTGAAGGTAGAATCAGAGTACTTATAAATGCATTTTTTTAAATCTAGAAAGTTGAAAATACCCACTTTGCTAGTACTGCCTAATTGTGAACTATATTACACCAAAGGAAGAGTCAGCGCGTGAGAAAAGCTGGTGGTGGTGGTTTAGTCGCTACGTCATATCCAGTTCTCGCAACTCCATGAACTGTAGCCTACCAGTCTCCTCTGTCCATGGGATTCTCCAGGCAAGAATCCTGGAGTGGGCTGCCATTTCCTTCTCCATGAGAAAAGGTAGTAATGACTACAGTTGGAAAAGCAGCCAAGATACCAACAGAGAGCTACACCAAAACTGCAGAGATTATGCATCCGAAAACCCCTTGGCTGCCCCCAGCTCAGTTCTCACAAGTGTGGATTTTTCCCTTTGTGTTTTATGTATGAGCAATGGGCAAAATTGTTAGCATGAAAGTAAATTGTTTTTCTTTTCAATTAAAGTCAAATATGCTTTAGATTTTTCTCTTTTTGCAGATTAACTATTTGACAAAATTTATAACAAACTAAATGGGCTTCGCTGGTGGTTCAAACGGTAAAGAACCCACCTGCAATGCGGGAGACTTGGGTTCAATCCCTGGGTTGGGAAGATCCCCAGGAGAAGGGAGTGGCAACCCACTCCAGTGTTCTGACCCGGAGAATTCCATGTACCATATGGTCCATGGGGTCGCAGAGTTGGACACGACTGAGCGACTTTCACTCACTTACACCAAACTAAAAACATGATTATTTTGTAGCTTGAGTAATCTCACAACATTTTAAATCATTTCAGACATAAAAGATAACTCCTTCAGCCGATCCCGGAGCTCAAGTGTGACCAGCATTGACAAAGAATCCCGGGAAGCAATCTCCGCTCTTCATTTCTGTGAGACTTTTACTCGAAAGACAGATTCAGCCCCTTCCCCGTGTCTGTGGGTCGGCACCACGCTGGGAACAGTGCTGGCCGTCGCACTGAACCTTCCCCCCGGAGGGGAGCAAAGGCTTCTTCAGCCAGTGATTGTGTCTCCGAGCGGTACGTGTGCTCTGCTGCTGGGCTGCCCTTGAGAGTTCGCTTTGCTATAATTTAATGGAAGCCTTTGCTTTTCGTGTTTGAATCGGCCTAAGAATTCTGAATGGAGATAGTCACAGTCTTCTGCTTTTAATTGAAGGAATACACGGATTAAGATTCCAGACTATTAAAAAAAAAAGATTCCAGAATATCGTTTACTTACACAGCCAATCAAGTTTTGCATTTTTTTAAAACGTTAGGATCATGTCTAAAATGATTACTACATAAGAAAATGAAAACAAAATACTGTTGTTCTGTCGCATTCTAGGATACCTTGAAATAGTATGTTCTGTAAGCAAAAGGATGGTACATATTTAGTTTTAGGGAAAAAACAGAAAAGTTTTTTAATACACTTAGCTACTTTTAATCTCCAAGTGTGAAGTCTTAAGATTGTCCTTCTTTGAAGAATTAGAAAAGGCAATTTAACAAAAAATTTTAAGAAGAAAAAATTTATACTCTTCCTATATTAAAAATGAGAGGAAAAAAGAAAGCATGATTTTGCTCTCTAGTATATTCCTTGTTTATATATTATACATATAAATTTTCTAGTAGCCATGTTAAAATGGCAAACAAGTGAAATTAATTTTAGTATAACCAATTTCATTTAGCCCAGTCTATGCAAAATGCTAAATCATTTTAGCATGTAATCAGTATTTTTATATTACTGAGTTATTTCCTATATTTTACTCTTACAGCATGCCACAGTGTGGACGAGCCACAGTTCACATGGCTAGGCGCTGGGCTGTGATATTGGACCTTGCAGCTCTAGATGCCATCTACTTACATTCAACAGTAGTACATTTGCCAGGTGTGGATATGAGACCTAGTTCTAGACATCCCAGCATTTATCAGTTTGGTAACACTTATTGAGATCTTTTTCCAGATTCAGATATCAAGCTTGATCCTGTCAGTGAGCCAGTATACAGTTTTGGTTCAGTATATATTCTACATATTTTTGAGCGTCTAGTATTTGTCAGAGTTGGAATAAACATATTTACTGTCTGGAGTAAAATACTTTTTATTTACTGAAATTGCAATTGTAGGTACAATATTGAGGTTAAAGGGGGCGATCCTGAGAATGGCCTTCCTGGACTCCACAGGCTGCCTCGTGCCACCTGCACATGAACCCTGGAAGGAACACAACGTCCCTGAAGAAAAGGATGAGAAAGAGAAAGTGAAGAAAAGAAGACCTGTCTCTGTATCTCCCTCCTCTTCTCAGGAAATCAGTGAAAACCAGTATGCAGTGATATGTTCTGAAAAGCAAGCAAAAGTGATCTCATTGCCAACCCAGAACTGTGCTTACAAGCAGAACATCACAGAGACTTCATTTGTGCTTCGTGGAGACATTGTATCATTAAGCAACAGCATCTGCCTTGCCTGCTTCTGTGCCAATGGACACATTATGACTTTTAGGTAAGAGGTTTTTGTTTGTTTTTTAAACACAAACACAGCATTTTCTCCCCTCAGAACATAATATTGCAGAATTGTATTCAGTTTGGAAGAAGTGCTTTTAATTTGCTTACAGTCATATACACTGAGAATTTATTTTCATTCAGTCACTAGTGAACACGTACATGAGGAAAAGAAATCAGTTTTATCTCCCACTCAGGTACACTAAGTCATGAGGTTTAGAAGGCCGCTGCCATTTTTACTTCCTGTAGTATTTGTTCAGAACTAAAACCTACCTGCCTGTTAACAAGTTTCCATTGTATTCTCAAGTCTTCCGAGTTTACGGCCTCTCCTGGATGTGTATTACCTGCCTCTTACCAACATGCGGATAGCCAGAACGTTCTGCTTCACCAACAATGGACAAGCCTTGTATCTTGTCTCACCTACAGAAATCCAGAGACTCACTTACAGTCAAGAAACCTGTGAGAATCTTCAGGTAAGTAACAAAACTATCACTATCATTTCTTCAGAGGTAAAATATCTTCTAAGGTCTCTTATATTATCCATCCCTTCTACTCCATGAGAAAATTCAAAGCTTTTCTTGAGAACTTGAGAGCATATGCTTTGATACTGGTAATAAAGTATCTTCATCAGATTCCTGTTATAAGAGGGACTCCATCTCATCATTCCATATTTTTTCTCGCCAGTGATGTCAAAGAAATACAAAATACTACATCCGTTTTATACCACTCTCCACACAGAATAAATATCTATTATATAGAAACAAAAGAAAAAATCCTTTTTAAAGACATATGTTGATGTGAAAATAATTATATCTATTTTAGGACAAATTGTTGTCATTCCTTCTCATATACTCTATATTCAAAGGATATATACACATTATCAGAAGAAATAAGATTTGATAATTTTCCTCTAAATATTTTTGTTGATCTATTTGTGAGAGATTACACAGTCTTTATAAAACTATATCTTTTAAAAGTATTGAGTGCTTTATGTGCTTGTATATTTGTTGGAAATGATCAGTTTAGCTTGAACTTTTTAAATGTGCTCTTTAAATATTAGAGCTAAAATATTCATTGATATTTAAAGAAACCATTACCTAAGGGAACTTTATTGTGGAAGTTTTTAGTTAATTAGCCATATTTTGCTGGTTTATAAACTTTAATTTGTGACTTATTTTTAGAATATGAGCTTTGGAGTCAAGAAGAATGAATTTAAGTCCTAGCTTTGCTAGTTACACAGTTACGTGACCTGAGACAAGTTAGTATGTCTGAACTTCATTATATTTAAAATGAGGATAAAAATATCTAATGTCGTAGGATCTGTTGTAAATTAAAGGAGACAGTACACATAAAGTTCTTACTAGCACAGTGCTCAGTAGAAAGTATGTGCTCTCACATGTTAGTAGTAGTATTTCAGTAAGCTAGACTATACTAGAAACATACTCCTGATATTATAAACCTTGACAGTGAAACAAAATTACAGTTATAACTGTATTACAATTAAAACTGTATTCTGGTAGCTCAGCTGATAAAGAATCCACCTGCAATGCAGGAGACCCTGGTTTGATTTCTAGATCAGAGAGAGCCCCTGGAGAAGGAACAGGCTGACTACTCCAGTATTCCTGGGCTTCCCTGGTGGCTCAGGAATCCACCTGCAATGCAGGAGACCTGGGTTCAATCCCTGGGTTGGGAAGATCCCCTGGAGGAGGGCATGGCAACCCACTCCAGTATTCTTGCCTGGCGAATCCTCGGGGACAGAGGATCCTGGTGGGCTCCAGTCCATGGGGTTGCAAAGAGTCAGACACAACTGAGCGACTAAGCATATGTACCTAAAAGTTAAGTAGGAACACAGAAGATATAAAGACCAAAATTGAACTTCTAGAGATGAAAATCTATAGTGTTAGAGATGAAAAATATACTGAATGGAATTAACAACAGATTAGACATTAGAGAAGATTAAGTAACTTGAAAGCATAGCAATAGAGAAAAACAATTGAGTGTTTATACTTGGAAAATTTATAGCACTAAAACATCTGTATTTGAAAAGACATGACATGTATGCTCTAGAGTCATGTCTGATTTTGTGAAAATAAGTTCTCATCAAATCAGTGACTTCAGCTTCCACCTTAAGAAACTGAAAAAGAAGAGCAAGTTAAACCCAAAGTAAACAGAAGAAAGAAAATAGTAAATATGCAAATGGAAATCAGTGAGATAGAAAACGTCAATGAAGTCAAAAACTTGATCTCTGAAACCAATAAAATTGATCTCAAGCCAGACTGATTGTGAAGAGAGAAGTTAGAAATTTACCAGTATCAAGAGTGAGAGAAATGACTTTCTGTAGATTCTACAAATGCTAGTTAAAATGGATAATAAGGAAATACTATGAACAGCTGTAGGCCAGTAAATTGAAAAACTTAGGAAATGGGCAAATGTCATGTGAGACATGTATTAGCAAAGTTCAGTCAAGAAAAGAGAACACTATAGGAAAATTGATGTTAGAAACCTTGGACAAAGAAAATTGAGGCCTCGGTGGCTTCATTTGTGAATTCTATCAACATTTCAGGAAGAAATAGTACCAGTTCTATATAAAACTCTTTCAAAAATTAAAGAGGGGAAATGCTTCCAACTTGTCAATGGTATGTTCATAGAACATGTTACCAAAACCAATGATTTTAAAATAAAGAAAATTACATATAGATCAATAGTCTAACATAGATGTTAATAATAGTCTAACATAGATCTTAAAATTCTAAGCAAAATTTTAGCAAATTGAACCTAACAGTATATCAGATGGATAATTCTGGTCATGATAATTCATAATAACCAAATAGGATTTATCCCAGGAATGTAGAGTTGACTTCACATTTATAAATCAATCTATGGAATTCACATTAGTAAATTTAAAAAACAAGAAGCAGTTGACAAAGTTCAACATCCATTCCTGATTTAAAAAAAGTCACACAAGGTATAAATGGGAACTTAAAAGGCATCTAGGAAAATCTACACCTGATGTAATACTTAGTGTTGAGATAGTGCCATGAATATTGGTGTTTTCATTTTCTTCAGCTATATACCCAGGAGTGGAATTGCTGGATCATAAGGTGGTTCTAGTTTTTTGGAGAACAGTTTTCCATAGTGCCTGCACCAGTTCACATTCCCACCAGCAGTGGTACTAAATTCCCACCAGCAGTTTCCTTCCCTCCACATCCTTACCAGCATTTGTTATTTGTGGACTTTTTGATGATAGCCATTCTTAGAGTAGCCAAGATATGGAAGAACATAAGTGTCCTATCAGCAGATGAATGAATAAAGAAAATGTGATAGGTAGATAGATATACACACACATATACTTCCATGTGATGGAATACTGTTTATCCAAAATAAGAATTAAATTTTGCCAGTTACCTATATAGACATGGAAGGTATTATGCTTAGTGAAATAAGTCAGAGAAAGGCATACAGTGTATTATCACTTACATGTGGAATCTAAAAAATAAACATATATAGTAAAACAGAAACAGACTCACAGGTGTAGAAAACAAACTAGGGATTACCAGTGGTCAGAGGGAAGGAAAGAAGAGCAATCAATATAGGGGTGAGGGATTACAGCTGTGTATAAAATAAATAAGCTCTAAGGGTGTATTGTACAGCATGGGGATTATAGTCAATATTTTATAATAACTTTATTTTTTTTAACTTTTATTTATTTATATAAAATAAATAAAATAAAATTTATTTATAACTAAGACCTGCTCCAGGTCTTAGTTCTATCTTCGTTGTAGTATGCAGGATCTTTAACTGCAGCATGTGGGATCTAGTTCCTTCCCTGACTGGGAATTATACCCAGGCCCCCCACATTGGGGAGTACAGTCTTAGCCACTGGACCACCAGGAAAGGCCCAATTTTATAATAACTTTAAATGGAGTATGATCTATACAAATATTGAATCACTATGTTGTACATCTGAAGGTAATAAAATAAGTCAACTAATATTACAGTTCAGTTTAAGAAAAAAGTGATAAGGTGTATGCATTGACTCATTCGTGAAATTAGTTTCCTATATTTTATCACTTATTTATTAACACAAATGACAAATGAGATGCAGTTGTCTAACATCAGACAAGTATATTTGCTTCTGTACCTTCATATTTTAGAGTAGTTTAAAAGTTCCAGACATTGCTTCAGATGTATTACTATTACTAGATGTAGAGAAATATCACAGATAATACAAATCTATTTAGATTTTACCAATGTTTATTAGTCATTAAAGTTAATTGTTCTAAAGAGTATGTTTATCATAATTAAAATTTTTATTTAAATACAAATGAGAAGTATTTAAGATACTATTCAGTGATATGGAAATACATACTTTTTGTAACATCAGTATTCCTCTCCAAATCCTAATACTTAAACCACAGACTGCAGACTCTTTAAGAAATGCCTAATTTTAAACTTCCTTTAAAGATATATGTTCACAATGTTAATCTAAAGATAAATGACTTCATATTTTCTAATTTGTTTCATCTCCATGTGAAAGGAGATTTTTCTATTTAATGTAGACATCACTCAGTATCTAATGTTGGCATTTTGTGTTATCTTTAACTCATTAACGATAATCTTCCTTATCTTTAATCCTGTAACATTCCTGAGAGTTAAGTATTAATATTAGTTCTTTATAAAGTTAAGGAAACCAGTTCTCTGAGAGACTGATTTGCCTAAGATCCCTCTGCATGTAAAAGGCAGAGGTGAGGATCAAACCCAGGTTCATGTGGTTCCATCATCCCAGTACACTATAGTGACTCTTAATTTACAACTATAATCTCTGCATTTTAAATATCCTACTTTATACTTATAAAATTACATGATCATTAAACACTAATTAAGAAGAGTAAACCACAATTCTAAAGTAAGGTAAATTTGAAAGAGCATATTTTTATGCTGTGACTCTATATATGTCTTATTACTGTATGCTGTGACTCTATATATGTCTATATATGTCTTATTATTGATTTAGCATAAAAGACACTCAAATGGTAGCTGTTTGCAGTTTGTTGTATCAACTTAATAAATGCAGTTTAAATTACAATCTTCAGAATATTGTATAAAAAAGATTGGAAATATGTCTAAAATCACCTCTGTTATACAGGCAAATGTAAATTTGAATTAAATAATAGGTATTACTATATTCTGTGGTGGATTTTAACAGGTTTGATTTATTGACTTTAGGGAGTTTTTCATTCTAGTTTTACTCCACTTTATAGAAATCCAGAGGAAAGAAAATTTAAATGTAAAGCCTTCAACCCACTTCAGCCTTATAAATGAAACTCTGTGTTGTATATCATTAACATTATCTCCTTTCATTCACAATCTGGTTGGGGAGACAACATTAATATGGGTATATCTGGGAATTCCCTGGCAGTCAGTGGTTAAGACTCCATGCTCTCCCTGCCGAGGGCCTGGCCTCAATCTCTGGTCAGGGAATTAAGATCCCACAAAACAAAAGGTGCAACCAAAAGATGAAAAAAAGAAATATGGATATATCTAAAAGTAAAATCTTGGGACATCCTTTATTAACTTGCTTAGCCCAGCCCTAAGAAAGAAACTCTAAAAAATACATATTTTTAGCTCCAACTATAATGTAATATCAGACAGAACTACCTGGAACCATCATGTACTTGTCACTTCTATCACAGCTACTTCTCTTTACGGGGCAGAAATGCAATCCCAAGCCTCACTATACTTTTTTATTTTGCTCTTAAAGGTTCCCAGAGTTGCCTTGTAAATAATATTACTACCATCCTTCTTTTATAGAAACTTCTCTTCTCTCTTTATGTCTCATCTACAAAGTCAGTAAAATGTCAGCAGTTTTTCTTGTCTGCTGACTTACCTTTACCGTTTCTGTGCTCTGAAGAATATTGACAAAAATTTCAGGAAAATCTGACAGTTTAGAAAGAAGCCTTTCCATCTCTCAGGTAGATTTCTGGAATTCCAGGTGTATGTTGGCATAATTCTGTTCCCAGCATATGTTTATGAAAAGATGTGTGTCTTTCTAAACTACTAATTTTCTGACTCAGCTATCATTACACTAGACTTTTCACTTTGCTAATATATTTTCTTCTTTCTAATGTAAGAAGACATCGTTATTAATACAGTTACCAACTTTTGATAATACGAGTTATAGTTATATGAACACTTTATCATAAAGGTTGGACTGTCCTTACAGTTTAAGCTTAAATCATCTTTGCTTAAAATGTGAAGAAAGTAATCTAGCCAAAGTGGCAAACAAGTTACTCTTAGTCAAGTTAATCTTAATAACTTATTGTTTGACCAAATCAGACTGTTCTAGATCTGATCATTTGAAATGTGCTCATTAATTGTCAACCTCAACAGCTAATGTTATAAGTTTTAGTTAAAGAGTTTACAGTGCTGGTTTTGTGGTTATAGTTTAGTGTCCCTGAAACTTTAACAATTACAATTTGTTTTGATTTTAAAGGAAATGTTGGGTGAACTCTTCACTCCTGTAGAAACACCTGAAGCACCAAACAGGGGATTCTTTAAAGGCTTGTTTGGAGGTGGTGCACAATCTCTTGATAGAGAAGAACTGTGTAAGTTGATTTATTTAATTTGGATAACATATCTATAAAACAAACATTCAAGCCATGTAAATTTTTCTTATGTGTATAAATTTATGTTCATCTTTTTCCTCTCTGTCACGACAATTGATGGATCCATCTTTTTGCAAAATGCATAAAATTGTTTTCTGCCATATTCTAACTCAAATCAGGGGAATATTTTACTCAGCAAATCAAAATCAGCATGGCTTCAGGCTAAAAAGGAATAAGCTTTAAGTGAGTAATTTGAAAATATTTTCTAGCTTTTGTTAAATATGATTTTTATTATTTTAATTCTGTAATGGACTTTAATTGATAACATTAACTTCAAAAAAGTTTTTATGTTAACATTTATTTTATCTTACAAAACCTCCGGAACTACTCTCATTGCACTTAGAAGATTATTTAAAATGTAAAGTCTAGTTCATGTACTATCTTCCATAGAATTGGCACAAATTGGAAATTGGTCCTTGAATGAACTAGTAAATCAATGCATGTTTCACCTTTCTTTCAAATAGGAGCTATTAGCTATTCTTGAATTATTATTTTCTTTTATTCTTTGTGTTTTACTAGAATTTTCCTTTTCTGTTCAGTTTACTAGAAAAACTGTAAGATTAAATATTAGCAAATAAGAGTGTAGTACAGTTTCATTTTAAAAATTTATCCTAATGATTGGTCAGTCATCTTGGTAATGAGGATTGGTCAGTTTTAATTCATTTAAAAAATGAAGACTATTCTTCAAGTCATGCTGCTAAGTCGCTTCGGTCGTGTCCAACTCTGTGCGACCCCATAGACGTCAGCCCACCAAGCTCCCTCTCCCTGGGGTTCTCAAGGCAAGAACACGAGTGGGTTGCCATTTCCTTCTCCAATGCATGAAAGTGAAAAGTGAAAGTGAAGTCGCTCAGTTATGTCCAACTCTTAGCGAGCCCATGGACTGCAGCCCACCAGGCTCCTCTGTCCATGGGGTTTTCCAGGCAAGAGAACTGGAGTGGGGTGCCATTGCCTTCTCCGTCTTCAAGTCATGGGGGACTGATAATTTAGAATAACATTCTTACCAAGATTAATTGATAAAGCTGTACAAAATTCAATTTTTATAAACATCAATGAGCTAACAATATAATGAAGACAATATACATGGGGAAAGGTGGTAAGCATTGCAACCTGAGGCCACTTTTGCCCTGGAGTACTTTGCTAATCTAAAGCAACAAGCTGAAATTCTGAACTGTGTTAGGACCAGCAAGATAGGCTCCCAGAATTGGCTCAGGTGGCAGCCCTGATAAATAACGCTTCCTCTTTGAAAGGACCCCAAGGACCAAGGGCCATAGATTAAGTAAAACTGATGTGAGCATATACACAAATAAACATTTAATGAAGCCCTTATCAACTCGCTACCCCAAACTTTGTAATTTATTCTAAATTTTATTTGGGAATTCAAAGGGTCTCACCTCTTCTGTTTAACACTGTACTAGAGTCTTTAAACCAGGGCAGTTAGGCAAAAAGAGAAGATAGTTGGCATGCAGTTGGAATGGAAGGAATGAAAGTGTCTCTCTTTGCAGATGACAGCCCTGCCTATAGAAAATCTTAAGGAAACCACACACACACACAGTGGTTCTAACTACTGGTGGTTAGGACTCAGCTCTTTCACTGCCATGGCCCTGGGCTCTCAATCCCTGGTTGGGGAACCAAGATCTTGCAAACTGCACTGTGTGGCCAAAATAAATTTTTAATTAAATAAACACATTCTAGGCAATAAACAAGTTCAGCAAGATTTTAGGATACAAGGTCCATATAAAGAATCAATTGCATTTCTATACACTAGCAATGGACAAACCAAAAATTAAATTAAGAAAGGAGTTTCATTTATCAAAAAGATGAAATTTTTACTAGAACATACACTAAAAAATATGCTAAAAAATCCAAACATTGTTTCAAGAAATTAAGAAATAAGTGGATTAATATCTACATTCATGGATTGGAAAATTTAATATTGCTGAGATGGCAGTACTCCCCATGTTGATCTATATGTTCAACACAATCCCTGTCAAAAGTCCAAGCCAGTTTTTTGAAGAAAGAAATAAGCAGTTTCTGAGATTCATATGGAAATGAAAAGGATTCAGAATAGCCACACAAACACACACAAAAAAAATTTTTTTGTAAAGAAAAAAGATCTGAGTCACATTTTGATTTCCAATGTTGTCACAAATTAGGAATCAACCAAGATAGTGTGGTCCAGGCATTAGGATGGCTACATAGACCAATGGAAAAGAATTGAGAGCCCGGAAATAAGCCCATACATGTATGGCCAATTGATTTTCTACATGGATGCCAGGAAACTTCAATGGTGAAAGAGTGGTCTTTTAACAGATGGTGTTGGGACAGTGGATATCCACGTGCAAGAGACTCTGACTCACACCATACACAAAAATTAATAACTCAAAATGGATCAAAGACCTCAATGTAAGAGCTAAAACTATAAAACTCTTAGAAGAAAACCTAAGTATAAATCTTTGCAACCTTAAATTACACAGTGGTTTCTCTCTAACACCTAAATCAAAACCAACCAAAGAAAACAGTAAATTATGTTCCAAAATTAGAAGTCAGAAAACATAATAATATCTATTGAGTCTAATAGCCAGAGTGTTAAAAAAAAAATTCTTAAAATTTCTTTATTCTTCAGTTCAGTTCAGTTCATTTGCTCAGTCGTGTCCGACTCTTTGCAACCCCATGAATCGCAGCACGCCAGTCCTCCCTGTCCATCACCAACTCCCAGAGTTTACTCAAACTCATGTCCATCGAGTCGGTGATGCCATCCAACCATCTCATCCTCTGTTGTCCCCTTCTCCTCCTGCCCCCAATCCCTCCCAGCATCAGGGTCTTTTCCAATGAGTCAACTCTTCGCATGAGGTGGCCAAAGTACTGGAGTTTCAGCTTCAGCATCAGTCCTTCCAATGAACACCCAGGACTGATCTCCTTTTGGATGGACTGGTTGGATCTCCTTGCAGTCCAAGGGACTCTCAAGAGTCTTCTCCAACACCACAATTCAAAAGCATCAATTCTTCGGCGCTCAGCTTTCTTCTCAGTCCATCTCTCACATCCATACATAACCACTGGAAAGACCATAGCCTTGACTAGACAGACCTTTGTTGGCAAAGTAATGTCTCTGCTTTTTAATATGCTGTCTAGGTTGGTCATAACTTTCCTTCCTGTTCAACAATAAAAAGCGAAATAGTCCAATTTTAAATGGGCAAAGGATTTGAATAGACTTTTCTCCAAAGAAAACATACAAATGGCCAAGCATGCAAAGATGCTCAATATCATTTGTCATTAGAGAAATGCAAATCAAAACCACAATGAAATACCACTTCACATTTACTAGGATGGTTGTATTCAAAAAGATGATCTTCTCAAGAATATGGAGAAATTGGAACCCTTACAAGTTGCTGGTGGAAATATAAAATAGTGTAACCTCTTTGGAAAACTACAGCAGTTTCTCAAAAAGTTAAACATGAAGTTACATGACCCAACAATTCTGTTACTAAGTGTACACCCAAGAGAATTGAAAACATGTGTTCACACAAAAACTTGTACAAATATTCATAGCAGCATTATTCATAACAGCCAAAAAGTGGTAACAACTCAAATGTCCATTAACTGATGAATAGATAAACAAAATGTCACATATCCATATCCATACAATAGACTGTTACTCAGTTATTAAGAAGGATGAAGTACTCCCACATGCTACCATATGATTGAATCTTGACATTAAGTGAAAGAAGGCAGACACAAAGGCCACACAGTGTGTGAATCATTTGTATGAAATGTTCAGAATAGGAAAATTTATGGAGACAGAGGAGATTATTGATTGCCAAGGACTGAGACGAGGGGGAAATGGAAAGTGACTGCTAATAATCATGCAGGTGTTTGGGTGTTTTGTTTTTGAGTAATGAAAATGCTTGAGAATTAGTAATTATACAACCTTCTGAATAAACTTCAAGTTACTGAATTGTTTAGGAGCAAATTTTATGGTATGAATTACATTTCTAAAGAAAGAAATATGTACTAAAGTACGAGGGAATCTGACATCAGTTTTTAACAGAATTTTGAAGACTTGCAGTCATGACGTTGTTAGGTCATGAGTGTCTAGGTTGCAAAGGGAAAGAGCAATAAATTCCCGAGACCTGTTGAAGACAAATGTGATCTATTTGGTAAGCAACAAGATAAATGGATAGAAAGAAAGGAATGTGGTTATGTACAACTTTTGGAGCCTGAAAAGAAATACTGAATAAATTATACATTTTTCTTCTAAGCCGAAGGATCGTATTTCAAGTGTGAGGAAAGTACAGAGTGAATAAAACAAATACGTGTGTTTAAATGTGTGTCTTTGAATTTAAATATCTTTAATTTATCTTTAATTTTGGGACACTTAAGAATGATTTTTTTTTACTGTTCTAAAGTGGTATTAGTATACCCATCATCCATTCCAACAAATAATTGTCACTTTTTTGGCTCAAGTTCTACTATATGAACTGGAATGAAATATTTATTAATGTATGTTGTATTTCTGTATACTTGAAAAGTATCTAAAAGTTAATTGTTAAAACAAGCATGATAAAATACATAATAAATTACAAAGTAAAATATAAAAATACTTCAGTTATATTGTCAGTCAAGTGTGTTTTAATGCTATCAGGAGATAGAATTTTATCTTAATTAAAGTTTTCATTTTCTGGGTTACTCTTCCATGTATCAAATCATTCAGTTGGAGAGTCGTCCTCAGGAAAGGCTTCAAGGAGTCTTGCTCAGCACATCCCTGGTCCTGGGGGCATTGAGGGCGTGAAAGGAGCCGCATCTGGAGTTGTTGGGGAACTCGCCCGAGCCAGGCTGGCACTCGACGAGAGAGGGCAGAAACTCAGCGACCTGGAGGAAAGAACTGCAGCGATGTTATCCAGTGCAGATTCATTCTCTAAACATGCTCACGAGGTATGTCTGTCAGACAGATGCCTAAGCCAAAAAGGCTAGACACAGCAAGTATGAAAATCATTGTGTTTTTATATCTGTTTTATTTTAACACATAAATTTTCTTCTCTTATCCTCAGTATGGTTGCAAATTCCTAAATTTTGCCACTAGAGGGAATCATTACAAGACTCTCAGTAGCCTTTGGTCTCTTAACTGAAGATTATGAATTTTGCAGGAACCTGCTCCCCCTTCAGGCTTTTTTTAAACAAAACCAGTGGCTTTGCAGTAGTTACTCAGGGAATACAATAAAGACAAAGCTAATTTTCCTAAATTCCTCAGACTCTACTACTAACTTCTAGAAAAGAAAATAATTTGTCTCTTGATTCTTTAGGTAGATTTAATCCAGTGAAACAATACTAAATGTATTTGTAAACGAATTCGCGCACAGGAGTAATATGCATTTTTGCAGTGAATTCATCTTGATAAATGAGGAAGCTGTGGTGGAGGTTAGAATCAGAGACTATGAAGTAAGGGAGCCCTAATTGGCCCTCTTACAAATACACTTTGTTAGCCAGAATAACACCCTTGAAAAACTGATTTTTTTTTTTTAAAAACTCAATTTAAAGTCTGTTAGGTGGAATGGAGTACATGTTTCTCATTTTGACAGGTCTGCCACTCCCTGATATTTTATACTGGGCTACTTCTCACATTTAGTTCCTAGCCTAGCCCTCAAAGACGTTTTGCTTTTATTACCTGAAGACACCATATTAAAGTTGTTTTTACATTTGAGTACCCAGTCTGTCAGTAATAGCTCTTCTTTAAACTTTAGGTCAAAAGCCATCTCTTCCTTGCTCAATAATGTTGACAGCTAGCATGTATGAAAGAGGTAACTTGGCCTAAGAGAGATTTTTCCAGGTTTTCAAAGAGATTTATGAGTCCATGTATGAGACCCACACACCTCAGATAAAGGCTAGTGCCGTCACATCTAAGTCAAGACTTATGTTCACATAACTCTGAACCTGACTGTGATTTCTAAGGCTTGTAACATTTCAGTCAGCCTCAGAATGTATCTACGGTCTAAATATTTAGCCAAGAGCTCAATCCCTAGCTGTTGGCTTTTCTCTTCTACCAAATGTTCCTCAACCATATTTGAGAATATAAAAAGACAGTACATTGAGTTGGTTAAATCATGGGTTTTTGGATTAGACTACATCGGTTCAAATCCCAGTTTCACCACTGTGTTATCTTGGCTAACCTCTTTAAGCCTAAGTTTCTTCATTTGTAAAACAGGGAGACTAACAATGCCCAGCACATAGAGTTGTTGTGAGGATCAAGTGAATCCATTCAGGGAAAGTGTGTTATACAAGTGCGTGGCTCAGAGTCAGCTACTCAGCAAACTGTAGATGGCAGCAGTACTCATTTCAGCCTTTCCTTCTCCAGGTTCTTTAAGTGTTCTTTTTAATTCAGTTAAGAGAACTGAAAGTTACTTATTTTTTAAGTTATTAGCTTATGTCACCAAAGAATGTGCTGAGCTAAAATGTACTTATATCATGTCTTTTAAGAAATGTGAGGACCTGCTATATAGTCTTTTTTTTCCTTGAAACAGAACAGTTCTTATTTCTTGCGTTCAGTATGAATACTGAATATTAAAAACTGGAGAATGCTTCAGAATAATTTAATGTTTTAGAAAACTATAGAAACCAGTTTATAAATGTTGTTATTCTGGCATTTTTAAAGCATGTTTTTTTCTTGTTTTCTCCCCTTTAGATGATGTTGAAATACAAAGATAAGAAGTGGTACCAGTTCTGATAACCAGAAACCCAGCTAAAGTTCAACTTCAGCCAGAAGGAAAAAGAATTTTCCTTTTTTATGTTACTGATTTCACTTTAGGAAAGTTAACAAGAAGGGATGTTTGTCACTGGATTCCGCTCTTTCCTAGCACAACCACGCCCTGTCTTACCTCAGTCCTGTGGCTTTCACTGAGGCGTGCTCACACACACTCAACGAGGAGTAGATGGTGCGGGCCAGCTCTGAGCTGACAGTTTGGGAATTAGGATGGTGGTCACACGTTACAAATGAAGAAACAGAGGGATTTGAGGAGACGTGGCAGGGACTATTCCTGGGTCATTCCTGTATTAAACTTTCACATGCCAACAGATTCCGTGCTGTCCTATTTGCCATCAGTGTTTGACCTCTTTGAGGGAGAGGCAGTAAGTCAGAAGTCTCGAAGCTGAAACAGTTACGTTTGTGTCATTGACTGAAGTATAAACTGCTGTCTTGGACTTTCCCTCCCTTCAACTGACTGGTCATCAGTATCATTAGTGAAGAAAAAAAACAAAAAAAAACAAACTGTTTGTTACCATATCTTTAGACAGATAAGCTGAATGGTGAGCTTTAAATAATAAAAACATACACATAGTTGACTTGTGTATGGGCTACTCTTGGATTCTTGTTATTGTATACTTGTGTTTAGTCCATATTTTGTCAAAAGCAAAACAAGGCGATACATCACTTTTCATTGAAAAGAAAAGTGTAGAGCATGACTGAACTGCTCATCATTCTGGGAGTTTCCATGTAGTGACTGTGCGGTGTGGAAAGTGAGAAAAACCTCCATTGTGCTGAGGAGAATACTTCAGTGTCTCTTGTCATTGTGCTCATTAATTCAGCTAAAGGTGGATTTGACCAAAATACTTACCGGTTAAATTTGTGGAGATGTTGAAATCAGCTGTTTTTAATTTTGCTTGAATTTTTATAAAATGTTTAACCCAATGTACCTTTGCATTGTTTGATTAAAACTGCTTTAAAAAATGTTTCATTATTTCAGTAAAATGTTCAGCTCCCTTTAAAAAAAAAACACCCTTTATTTGCTAACAGTTCCAGTACACTCAGGTGATGAGGCAATTAACTCTTAGTGCACATGCCGTCGCATGGAAAAACTCAAAAGCATCAATTCTCAATAATTATCTAAGAGTCTAGTCTGACCTACAAAGTATTTTCTGTAGAAATATACTATAAATCTGTACGTGTCCTTTCAAGGTTTTGAAAAACCGAAAAGGAAAATACATGCATTTTGGTAATTAAATTATTTCTGTATTGGAGTATAAAGCAAATGAGACCATCAGTGGACAGTAAATGACTGGTACTAAAACAGCACACACAGTCAGAAAAGAGATAATGGGATAGACCTAGAAGTAGGTAAGCTCATTCTGCAGGCTCATCTGAGATTATTACTGATCATTCTGAAAGCAACAAAGGATGAATAATCTAGAAGCATTATACTTAATGAAATTTAAAATATTTTCTTCTACAAAAAAAATAGTTTAAAACCATTTTCTTTTGTCATCAAGAGAGAATCAGAGCACAAATTGATAGCAAACATGATGGTTGTTTTTCTATTCCATACAATCTAAAGGTATATCTAGAACACCTTAATTTCACAAGTCTGTCTTGCGTTTTTCCTCTTTACTCTTTTCATTGATAAAGCTCTTATGTTTACATTTTATGACGTGCACTACAGGATATGAAAGTTTACATTAAAATTTACTTTGTCATTAGGGAGGGGTTGAATACATGTGATAGAGATGATTGATCAAGCCAAAAGAAATATTTTTAAAATACAGTCATTTTCAAAAGTTTTTGAATTTGTAGGAAGACCTATGAGTAACATTTCTGTTTAGTTAATGCCAGCTTTATGATGAACATGTAGCAGTTTACAAATTGCTTAATTTGTATCATAGATAATCTAATAAACCCATTGTTCCATGATATGTCACAGGAAGTTTTCAAAGGCCGTTTTTTAAAGGTACAGTTTCGTGTCATCAGTAAAATCAGTAGTTAATGGATTTGAAGTTGAGAAGCACTAAGTAAAGTGATATACATGAATGGTTGGTTCCCCATTCATGTGTAAGGGCACATTAGCTCCAATTATTTGATTTGCTATGTTGTTTTGTGTTAATTGTATATCAACTTAATTTTTATATCAACTGTCATTTTTCCTGTTGTATATAAAATGAACCAATCTTGTAATTATTTTCAAATAGAGAAATAGATACATTTACCTGAGGTGGATTTTATAAGAAAACCTTGAATCAATATTTCGAGTTATTTTATTTCATTTTTAAATTAACCTACAAATTATGCACAAGAAACTAGAAACTCACGTAGGATTAGAAAGCTTGAAGTATTTTTGAAAATAGGAAATAAGCTTCTCAGAGTTATACTTGATTCAGTCTGTAGATAAGAGACAGTCTGCAGTAATAACTAACCCAGGGAATTTATTGTAATTTGAGAGGTAACATCTCTATTTTTTTTTTCTAACACAAAAAGTTATAGTCACCAGCAAGCCAAGATTTCAGGAAAACAAACCAAAAAAAAAGTCAAAATAGAAAATATGAGAAAAATGAAAGATTTTTGTGTGCTTCCTCCATATCCTCAAACATTATTTTTTGTTGCATTTGTCCTTGACTCTAAAATCATTGAAGTATTCATTGATTAGCAGTCTGTCAGTAGGAAGTGGTTTCCCTATATGTATCACATAATCTGGTTCATTTCACTTTTCAAACCAAAATCCATATGTATTTGCTTTAGAAGGTTATTTGAAACTTTCTGATAACTTCTGTATATTACATCATTTGAAGTATTGCATCATCTTAATTCCCTTGGTTTGCATTTCAATTGTACTGTTTCCAAAAATGGTTATAGGTATAACTGAGCTATTGCTAACTTCTTAATTTGATTTTTTTATGGATGTGAAAAAATGCTGCTAATTGTCTATTATTATGTGTAGTATATGACAATTTAAGTACAGAACTTTAAAGAAAGATATATCTCTTTTCCTTAGAACTTTTTAATTGTAGGTTTCTCTGAAGTTATTTTGTGTAGATATGTGTTTTAAACAAGTCTGAAAGTGTTACATAGTTTTTGATTACAGGAGTGATGGGAAAACAACTGAGGAAAGGAAAATACGTGAAAGACACCTGGACTTCAAAGTTTTACCCTGAGTTCTATATTCCATATATGTATTGCTTAAGGCATTTTCTCATGTGACATTAGAAAAGCTATATCCAAAGGTAAATTTTGTGTGGCAAAGATTTATTTTACATTTTAACTTTTGGGATTTTGTTTGTTTTTGCAAAATAAAGAGCACTGAACTTTAAACTTGAATTTTTTCTGCACTTTTTTAGGTAAAGAAGACTTTTTATTGTCATTGAATTTACATTTCTCCATTCAAATCAAGTGATACATATGTATAAAACATACCAAAATCATGAATATGCTGCTAGTTTAAACAATTAAACTGATCATAGTTTTAAAACCTTCAATAGGGTTTTATATAGTTTTCAAGGATAAAAAATAGTAAAATCCTTTGCTGTTTGTTTCAGTGTTCTAGGTCTTAAATTATTGCAACACTTTCAGATTTGTTTTAAGATCATACAGTAACATGTTATATTTATACATACTGCTAGAGAATATACTTTTAGTTTTAAAATGGAATTTTTATAAATGTATTCTTTAATTTTAAAAATGGTGAACTTGTTAAGTTTAAGTCGAAGTACTTAAAAAGTATGTATATTATCCATACAAAAAGTTATGTTTTACGCTTATAATAAGAAATACTGGTATCTCATATCGAGATACAATTAATTTTAAAGAATCATACATCATTCAAAAGTCTTCACACATGACAGGAAAGATACCATTCCTCTGGTTAAAAGAAACCCTCTATTGAACATTTTCAAATATTAATTTTATTTTGGGGAAAATGCCCACAACAATAATTACAAGGTCTTTCTCAATACCTGCAGCTTGCTGTTGGATGCCTACCTTAACTATTGTTTTAAAATATATATATATATATTTAAAATAGTTTTCCAGATATTTTCTTCTATCTTTTTTAAAAATAAATTTCCAAAAATGAAAACAGAGTTTATGTATTTTTGTCAATGAAGGTTTTTATTTTGTAGTTTATAGAATTTGTTCCTTATCAGTTTGATACTTGATCAATATTCCTAGACTTTTTAATCTGTATTTACTTTGAAAAAGCATTTCTCTATCTTAAGTGTCCTCTTTTTGTTCTTTTCCCTTTCAGGGTATTTGCTTTCTTGAATTGAAATTTATGCCCATAAATTATTATTTTTTTCATTTGAAATGAATGTGAAGATACTGTTTACAGTTTTTGTTAATTATACTTTTCATCACTCTGATCAATTTCTTGTAAAGTGCTATGGGGATTATTTTTCCTGTGAATATTAATGATCTTACTATACCACAGAAGTTTTAAAGGTTCTGTGGACAGAAAAGAGTGGTAACAATAACAAAATTAAAGGGAATACTTTTGCTTACCTTTCTCAGCTGAATTAAATGGTTTTAGTAACTTCCCAGTTATCAAGGCTATAGCGTTGCTTTCTTCAGTTTCTAATACAGTCTTAAACTATTAGACACAGCTCATTTACAGACGCAGTAGAGTGGTCCAGGATTATGTGTGATTGCTCTTTTTATTGCACTCTTTACATCGGAAAAATCATGAATGTCCGTTTTGCCAGTATTTCACAATGAGGCTTATAGGTTAAGTTAAAGTTTTATAGTGTAGGAGATGTAAATAAATCAGTATTAATTTATTGCAGGTTGTTTGGCTCAGGCATTTAAAATGGATATAGGCTAATGACAATGGAATCCTATTTATTTGGGAGTTTTAGGTTTTTTTAATACGCAATGTGTTTTGTGTTGTTTAAACTTTGCTTCCACTGAAGACAGTGTAAGGAATTGGAAACAGATTCAACATACCAATAGAGAGTAATGCAAAGAGGGTA